CTCTCTCTCTCTCTCTCTCTCTCTCTCTCTGTCAATTCAATAGTGAATTACAAGAATATTCTGTGATATTCTTTACAGTTTTGTATCGATTTTTATGTTTATTTTTTCTGTTATTGTAATCGTTTTTTCACTCGATTACCACATTTTACTTTCTTTTAGTCATGTATTGTTTGAATAATATCGAGGAAAACATGCATTTTATACATGCATTTACTAAAAGCCAGTTTCGTTTTCGTCCTTTAATAGAAATGTCACTCAAAACGAAAAGTTTGATTACAATAACTGTTATTCAAATTGGATTTTTATTTACAATAACTTTGCATTTAATCCAAACATCAAATATTTATGAAAACTATTAACTTTTTTGGAAATATATTTTTTAAGCTGAAAACCAGATACAAAACTAAAGAATTAATTACTTAATGAACTAATAAATTACTTAAAGCATAAAAAATGGTGTAAATAATTGATAAGATGTTTACATTTGGTAAATAATTATGATCTTTATTGAAGTTAATTATCTGTTCAATTATTATAATACAAATTAAATGTGTCTTTTATATCGTTAATAATAATCTCGCAAATTATTCCCTGAAATATAATTATTTAATGCATTAGTTTAAGTGCTTTGTGTTAATGATATGAAAAATATTTTTGGCCAAAATGTGGAAAACAAATGTCAAGCATATTATGTCTTAAATTGAAAATTTGATTAAAATATTTGATATATTCCTCTAATAGAGTCCAAACATTGAGATCTCAATTCTCGTACACAACACTATATTAGCAAATCTACAGCAACTTATGGCCAATGATTTATTCCTCTCATTATTTTTACTATCAAACAAGACTTTATGCAAATGAATGGTATCTAATAATGTTTATCAAGTATTATATTAAATCTCCGTCTCTTATATTATATTAGTAGAACCCAAGTATTGACTAAAATGTTACTATTATAACATAAGTCGACGTGTTTTAAAAATGTCAATTTAATGGTATGATTGATTACAGCCAATTGTGAATTACAGTAGAGGACCGATAGTGTCAACTAAACATCTCTGAGGTGAATAGTTGATACTATGGATCAGTTATCACAATCAAACAAATCAAAAATAAAAGGATGTTTTAAAATTAAACGCTAACTAATAATATTTCTGTATTGAAACAAATCAATGCTATCTGTATTTTCACACATTAAAAACTGGATATTGAGAATTTTATTTAACTGTTTAAAAACTTTTTAAATAAACATATAATATTAACATGGTTACAAATCCAATTATTAATAATATTTTGAAACTTTTAATAATTATATTTGGTTAATACAAAATATCATAATTTGCATAGAAATTATGACTATTTTAATATCAAAAATTGTGAACATTGAAAAGATATGAAAAATTACTACTTTTTAATATGATGTTAATGATTTTGAATTTTAAAGTATTTATTATATGATTTAGCATATTTTGAACCTTAATACGATCCATATTTTACTGTAGGCTATTGTTCAACATTATCTACTAAACATTTTTACCGTTTTATATAACATGCTTTCAAATATTTTGTATCTAAATAATATTTGTTAATAAATGTTGTATTCTTATCAAATTCGATCATAAATAGCCCTAATGAAACTTCTGTGGGAAAAATTACTGCATATTAAATAAATTAAACATCACATAAATTTAAAAACTACTAAAAATTAATATTTTCAATGATATTAAACTCATAATTTTATACATAATATAAAGATTTCAAAATAATAAGAATTGATTACAATTCTACATTTATTATACATGTAATTTATATCTAATTATATTTCAATCAAAAATTTCATGAATTTAGGGATTGTTTTTTAATTAGTTTTTTCAAAACAAAATTTTCATTTTTTAATTTGAATACAACAGCAAAAGGGATCCAAACTTTTAGATTTAGTCGTAAATCCCGAGAGAGTGTAATGAATGTGAAAAACCGTATTATTATTACAGTATTAGTCAATGAAGAGCTCAAATTGAATATAAGGATTCCCATGGCTTTCATGTGAGATGAGGAGAGAGAGAGAGAGAGAGAGAGAGAGACTAATTGCTTGTTAAAAAGTGACGCTAAATTTGCGACTTAAACAAAATTTTAGGATTAATACATCAAATGCTTTTAATTAGATTTTATGTTGTTTATTCGTATAAATTTTTAATCTTTAAACCAAATATAAGATGAGTTAAATAAAAACATCGACACACATCAAAGTTCAATAGAAATTAATTAATTAAATCTAAATTAAAATTATTCTAAAATTACATTTGAAGGCCGAGAGCGTCGGCGGTGGCGGAAAAACTGTGGAGCAATTCATTGGATACAAGTAATACAGACAACGCTCAGTTCAGACTGGATGAGCACCGGTGCCGACTGCTTAGGTATACAGTACTTGTATATTAATATAAATTCTGTATTAATTAATGCTTTATTTGAATGGTAAAGGAGAGGAATCCCAGCGCAACCCATACTCAATGGCTTTTGTGGCGATTATGAGTGGAATACATATAGAAGTAAAACTTATGACAACTACTTCACAAACACTTCCAGTGATTCCTATAATCCATTCAAACGCTATAATGAATATTCAATTATTTGTTATTTAATTTTAGTCAAACTTATTATACATACAGTATATTCGTGAACACAATATATTATTATACAATTATATTGAATGTATTTATAAAAATGTCATATAAATTATTTTTAATATAAAGTGTTATTTTTGTACAAAATTCTGTTAACAGAGATTAAAAGCCAATAAAATAAAAAGTATTTATTTGTTTGAATTAATGATACTTTTGCTGCAAAACTACTGAATAACAAATAAGTGTTGCGTAAGATTTTCTTCTCACAATTAAAATAACAAATTTTTTATTTTTTATTTAAAAAGATTTCAAATAATTTTATAAATATAATTATTGTAAGAAAACAGTAGTTCTCATGTGTTTTATTGTATTTTCTAACTGAACGATAGCTTTTGTGAGAGTTTAGTGAACTTTTCAACTAATATTAGACTATAATTGATATAAATTATAATTACAATTAAGGCATTGAAGTGATGAGAAGAAAAACGTAACAATTAATTACTTTATAAAAACATCTTTCATTACGATTACGGAAAACATAGCTTTTATACTCAAAACAACTGAAGTTATAATAATTTAATATATTTCTCATACATTTCTGGCACTAAATTAACATTTATTACATAATAATCATTACAATAAACGGTATTCTTATGGGA